CACACACACACTCACTCACACACACACACACACTCTCTCTCACACACACACACAAACTCACACACACAGTATAGTATAGTACTAGTAGTTACCAGGGTAGGTGAGGCCAGCAGGGCTAGTCATCCGCTCCAGCACCGAGCTGTGCTCAAACAGAGCGACGATGAGACGCCCCGGCAGTCCTGTGAGCTTGAGCAGCTCTGGAGAGCTGAGCTGAGACGAGAGCAGAGCGTTCTCTGTGGCCGACCGCTGATACTGGAACTGCAGTTTAGAGATCAGCGCTTCACCTCGAGTCTGCAGATTGTGCTGGTGAAGGGTACAGACAGTACAATCAACACAAAATGCCCTTACCAACACTGCAAGTCCATAAATACACAGAGAGAGCCAATAACAGATTTATATATTAACAATATAGATTTAGAGTTCTACATTAAGCTGTGAGGGAGGAATTGTGAAATGCTGTCATTCGTTCCCATTAACATGATCTCTGTAAGCAGAAAAGATCCAGCTTCGTGCTCTGTGTGAATCTCAGCTAGTCAGCTAGCTATCATGCAACCTTTAGTGCACCTACTTAACACACATTTACTCAGAAGGTCAGACATCATTACTCATTTTTAGGTTGATTAAAACAATTAATACTATTTTTAGTATTATCTTGAAATGTTAAATGCTATGTTATGAATGTTAAATACATATTTTTGGCTAGTCTTTTCATTAGCAGTGTTTTTCAGTACATTTTACTTTACACCTGTTGAGTTTCCATTCATGAATGAATCTGAGAAGGTACAAAGAGAAATGCTTTTTCTGATCTGATTCTAGTCATTTAATATCACACAGAACACAATGAATGAATGGATGTGGTGTCCGCGTTATATATTTAACAACATTCATCATTCAGTCTTCAGCAGACTACTTTGAAGAGTGTTACGAATTTTGACAAACAAATTTATGGTGAAATACACATTCATATTTGAAATTCACAAAATTAACGCCAAGCACGCAATTTTGAGCTTACATTTACCATATTTCATGTGTTATGTATGTGTTGATCAATGTTTATGTGAATAAAACCCTAAATTGAAATATGTTAATCACAAAGTGATTGTCTCTCTTCATAAGACTTAAACTGCTAGATTCATATGAATTATTTTTTACAATGTCCTTATGGACTTTTTGAAGCTTTAAATGAAAAAACAAATGATGAAAGCATATTAAAATTCTCAGAATATCCTCTCCAGTCTCTGAAAAGGACAGTTTTTGAATCTTGTGGACACTCATTTTAAATAGCGTTTAGGGAACTAGGTGACGATTTGCAATAGATTCTATTCATGTGTTGAAGGACGTCTGAGATCAGGATGAGTTTGTTTCTTCATCAGGTTTGTAGAAATGTAGCACTGCATCAGATGGCTGGAGGTTGAGAAAACCTTCAGCAGAATTCTATTCCTGATCTATTCCTTTAGTGTTAATAACCTTGCTGCCTAGTCTTTATTATGCCTCCTTGGAAAAAGCACTAAATAAGTAAAAACAAATACTTCAAAATGTGCACAAATGTTTAGTAGTCACAATATCAGACACCCTCAATAAGTTCTGATCACAAGACACATACATGTTTATCTATTTATCAGAAAGCAACAAATGGTTTTACATGATCACATACATAATGCGTCCCAAAAACAATATAATATTTACATTTTCCTACATACCTCCAGAGTATCAGACTGCAGTAACTTGTGCACGAGTTCCAAACTGAACTTCAAGAAATCTGTCTTTTGTGCACCTGGAATCAAACAATTAAAAATACATACAAAATAATAAAACATTCATTTCTTTTTTAATGTGATGCCTTCACTCAAGTCCATTACAGCATATCAGACGCCAACGTAAACAATGAAGGACAGATTCAGTGAATAACTCATACTTTGGTCTGTATCTCACTCAAAGCTATTGTATTCCTTTAAAAGATTTCTGATATGATGTACAGTATAATGCGTGACTGATGAAGTGCTGTCACAACACTCGACTAACCTGCAGGAAGGTCCTGGGCAATTTTATGGACTGTGGCTGCAGCAAGTTCCAGATTCTGGATGCACAGCGCGTGTTCAAAGATACTCTGAGTCACACGAGACAACTCTTTACTGGGAGCAACCATCTGGATCTTCTTTGCCTGATCCGTTAGCAAAGGCAAGAGACTCTTCTTGAACACATGGTTCACAGCTAAAACATACAGCTTATCAGGATTAACCTGGGTAAAACAAAGCAAAGAAAAAAGACTAAACATCTTACCTCTATTTTGTTTAGTCCCTAGCATGAGTTTATTATATTCACATAACACAGGTCTTGTGAATTTGTCTGGTAAATGATTTTAAACCCCACTACCTAATAATATTCTAAGAGCTGCCTAAATAAGTCAGATATTTACGGCCACACTGGAAACCGAAATACTGCAGGAGTGTGTGTCAAATGGCCTTTTTCACACTTACACTACACTGTCTGTGGTCACACAGCAGCACTTGCAGACAGGTCTAGATCTGCATCAGATTTCGGGCTTTTGCTGGCGATCTCCATTAACTAAAGCCGTGCAGTGTGTGGGCAACATAATCTATGTTTACACTGATTTGTGCTTCCAGAAAACTGCCAGAGCACCTTCAGTGTGAACACAAACCGGAGGCACAATGCTGTGAGACTGTATGCTGGTCAGTGGCGCCTCCAGGACACTTTATTTTGGGGTGGCCAGAGAGCTGCTGTAAAACTGCTCGGGTGGCACACTGAAAATGTGTTTCGTTTTTAAACTGCATTTGACACTGCTTGGTTACCAACATTGTTTAAAGTGTCTTATTTTGTGTTTAACAATAAATAAACTCATACATGTATATATAACTTTAGGGTAAATGATGATTAAATGATGACAATTTTCATTTTCGGGTGGACAATCCCTTTAACCCTCATGTTGTGCTCATTTTGACCCGGGAGGATTGTATTTTTCCTCCAAAACCAGTTAACGTGAATGTTATTATATTTGTTTATTTGTTTGACTTTTTGGGGGGTATTTTCTCACCTTGTTACACTTTGGTGTTCCTCAAAAATTACCGACTACAAAAAAGTGTGGGGTAGAGTTTAAGAGATAAATGCCCCTTGCTGTTGAAATCTGAGGCTACACTTTAGACATTCTGCTAACTCTAAGTAACTCTGCATCTACACATCAGCTAACTCTCATTAGAGTATTAGTAGTGTTAGCTTAGGGTTAGTAGAATAAGTTTACATATGTTTGCAAAGTGACTTATAGTCAGCAGAATGTGCTCAAAATAAAGTGTCAGTACATATTAAGCAGACAGTCTACTAATACTCTGATGACTGCTAGTTGACATGTAGTTGCAAAGTTACTGAGAGTCAGTAGAATGTCTAAAATGGATCAAAATAAAGTGTTACCAATTTTGATATTTGATCTGATAATGTCTAAAACTTAAAATATTATCCAATATTAAATGTACTGTAAATAATTAACATGGTCTTGACAGATGGATGGGGGGCAATAAGAATAATACTTCTATCTTAACAATATACAGTACACAATGCAATTGTTTACAAGAGGTTTCTTGGCAAATACATTAGAGTATTTTGCCCCTTTCGTCTCTACGGACTGACAGGGATGTGTTACTCATGACCGCCGCAGCGGGACACTCATGGCCTAATGGTTAGAGAGTCTTGTAACCCAAAGGTCGAGGGTTCGAGTCACAGGTCCGGCAGGGATTGTAGGTGGAGGGAGTGAATGAATCTTCCTCAATAACACAACTGAGGAGAGACCCTGGCAACATTTACAACATGGCAAGTAGTTTGAAAGATTGTGCACTTCAGTGATCTTTAGTTAGATGCATTTACATTGTGACTACGCCTCAGAGTACTTGCAATCCACTGTGTCAACTGTATTTTTATTTACAGAAGTGTGGCCCAAATGGCCCCTTGGCTCAGCATCAGGTCAGTGTATCGCTGGCTCTCTGTGGGGTGTTATTGTATTGTTTGTGGCACATTTGTTTGTTATAAACGTCTGGTCTCACAGACAGCAGCTTGGGTTAAGATTGTTTGAAGGAAGACATGCTAACATCACTGCTACACTACAACCTTCAATAAATTCTTCTCTCCACAAGAACTCTGGTCAAGCTCGCTTATTTTATGTATTAGAGAAAACTAGTACAACGGCGAGCCATCCAAACCACTGCTCAGCCAAATACTGCAAAATCCAACAAGTTCTAATAACTAACTAAACAATAATAATAGCAATAATAATTCATTGGCATGCAAAAAAAAAAAAAAAAACAGCAAATAAAAAGCTCCTTTATGTACGTTACCTTCATTAATTTACAGATGAGGAGCAGCGTGGGTAAAGTGTCCTCACTCAGTTCTGGAGCTGTGGGAGGACACATCACATTAAAACAGAAAATAAGGGAGTCATTTAGGACAAATCAGGAAGAGTATGATGAAATACACTGCAAAACCTGGCACTGATACACACAGACAGTTTTCCAGAAGGCGTGGTTGTTCTGGAAGAGCAGATGAAAGGGCAGGCGGGTGTGAGCTAGAGCCGTGGGTTCAAGGCCGTTCTCCAGAAGATATGAGCTCTCCAGGTCTGTGGGGGCCGAGATCCTTCTGTGCGACTTCAAATGCTGGAGTAATCCCACCATCTACACAACACAGTATACAGATTTTACAATGAAGCTTAATCCTGTGGCAAATCAAAACGTTACACACAAAGCCTCAGTGAGCACTAGGCAATCGTTTGTGGATGCAGAATATCTAGAGAAAAGTTTGTTTGAGGATATGCTTTTCATCCTGGCATCTGACTGACCTGACCAAGGGGTAGCAGGGATGTGGTCTCATCCGCCAGCTGAATAGTTCTGAGCACTCTCTCGATCCACTCATAGTTGTATGGATTTAGCTGTACAGATTACATTCATATTAGCACAAACTGTATGACATTACAATAAACCACTATATAAGATAAATTACACTTGAGTAATCATTTCAGTGTCCTGTATACCATAAAACGTTCCAAAAATTCTTATGAAATATTTCCCATATTACAACCAGAGTAAAAATGACACGGACTAGGCTTAAAGAGAATCAGAGATGAAGTATGCAAGACGAGACCTTGGTCAAGGCTGTGTTGAGACTGATCACAAGGTCTTTGGTAGAGCCAAGCTGAGGAACGATCTGAAGGGCACTTTCGAGCATGTCATCTCTTCCTAGCAGAGACTCTTCACACCGCAGGCTAGCTTTGGCATCGCCTTCTGCAATCTCCATTTCATACCACCTATCCTCCTGCAGCAGTACAGTGGTGATGTACAAATTGATTGCAGAACCGCTGTCCAATCCAAACGTGCTACAGAGCCAAACAAAGAGCCTTGAGTATTACACAGAAGATGCACAGGTAATTCAGACTGTGGAGGAACGATCATCTCTTCCTCTTTACTAGTTACAGCACCAAACAAACATAAATGAACATCAGAAAGTTTCTTGCTTCAACCGCAGAGAGACATCAATACAGACCATTTTTCAAGTTCAAGTCCACCAATGTTAATTTACTCTCCGGTCTGGTCTGTTTGTCTGACAGAAATGGCAGATTCGGCGCGATTGACTCTTTAGCTCTGCCACGACACGCCTCCAGGAGCTCGACTGTTTTCAGAGAAGCGTAAAGCTGTAGCTGTCTTTTATAAATCTGATCAAACTAAAGACTCTTGGGAGATATGAAGGATGCAATAATACTCTATAGGTACTCACGATTAACATGAGACTGGCAGAAACTGTTGTGTTATGTCTGTTTAAAATGTTATTGTACTATTTAAAGTTGGTAAAATCTCACCTCAGCACGTCTGTCTCACACGACAGTGAAAGAATTACAACATGGCTGCGTTTCTCAATATCAATTACCATTTCATTATAAACAGACTTTATTCTTATATTTCCACGTTCGTGTGTTTACTGTCTTCATGTTTGGTCAGTTACAGGGTTTCTATCTTCTTTTTATTGAGCTACAGCGACAGCTGGATGGCTTTGTCCATATTAGGGATTTCCTGGAGCGTTCTCATACATCTGTGAGTTTCTGCCCTCCGGCTTCCAGTACGAATGAAACAGACGTTACACGAGTCTGCTCACTAATGCTCACACAACCCTACTTAGGGTAAAAGAGGAAAAATAATACTTCTCTCTAAAGAAATCTGAAGTAAACGTGCAATTCCATAAGTTTTTCTCCAGAGTTTTGCCAAGTTGTTTTCATTAATGTAAAAATATACCTCATTGTCATGTTCTAACCGTGTTATATTTATCTTTCAATAAAAATCTAAAATGTTATGCCCTTCAAGTAGTGGCAGTTTTTCCTCCTGGTATTTTTATCATATTAAAGTTATGATTTCCAGTAAATTCCCTGGGGAAGTGCCACCACACATACAGTTTAAGTCTGTGGGAAACACTGGAAGGTCAGCAATCCAGCGCGTATGCGTGTTTGCACTCTGGAAAACATCAAAAGTTTCTATTTACAACGTGTTTTTGCAGCGTTGAGCAATGTAGCCAATCACAGGTATTTCTGTTGATTTCTTGAATGCAACGGCCAATCAGAGGTGTTTAAGTTGGATAGAATTCACTCGCCGCTGAAAACGCCGGAGTTTTTGTGAAGTGCAGTTTTGGACGCTCGTGAATCATCTCAAAGTGCAGACGCGGTGAGAATAAGAGATTCATCGTGCAGTTTCGAGAGCTTCATTGATTATAATGGAACATTGTGAGATTGCGATAAATTGAAGTGAGTGATGGCTTTTTAGTGATTATAAAGGGAGCGCACTGTGTGCTTTCTAGGCTATAATCACTGAGGATTTGTTTGAAACTTTAGTTTTCAGATTTCATGAACTCTCATCACAGATCAGTGTGAGCGGTGAACTTCCAGATCCAGCCAGCTTTACTACAGCTTGAGTTAAGTGTCAAAGGATCTGCAATTCACCACCGCACACAACAGAATGAACAAATGTATTTTACATTGTTCTGTAATGCACAAATAAACAACACTATTTGCATTTGTACACTGCATCGAAAATATTAAATATTGTGTTTAAAAAAATGCTCTATTTATTCATAACCCTTTACACTTATTACTTGCACAAGCACACTAGAACAAAAACGGACACTATCAGAAACCTTTCCAAATGAGTTTTACCACCCATTATAAATGAAGCCAAATAGTGAACAGCTGACTTGCCTGCAGTAATGCAGTATAATGTCAGGAGTGATGTTCCTGTTTTTCACAAGTGTTGGAATCAAGTTTCTCTTCGTCTCCGCGCACTGCCTAAACACTGACTGGATGGAGACCTAAATGGAAAGAAATTGTCAAAGGACACAACATTCTGTCCATATTGTGTGGTTTTAAAATAGATTATTAAATGATGTGTTTTTGTCACACATGGGCTAAATAATGAAATACTCTGCAGCAGTGCAGCACTGACCCCGAGTTTGCCCAGCTGAACGCCCCACTCTGCATCAGTGATAACAGACAGAAACTTCCCCCTCTCCTCTTCATCCTTATACAAAAAACTTAGATGGGCTCCCACCATTGCAACAACCTACAGAAGAGAAATAGATGCATTATTATTATGCTTAAAATCAGAAAACGTGGGGGTGCTTGGCCATGCGAATGCTGCTGCCATAACCCTGAGCGGTTGAAAACAGAATATGCTCTTCTGCTGAAACACTCACTTTTAAGCGCGCTTTTTGATCGGGAGTTTGAAGATCAAAGTCAGTCATCATATCTTACATATATCATTATTTGCTATCATTGTCATTACTGCTTTACATTATTGTTAGTCAGTGCATATTTCTGCAGTACAGTGTTTTCAACAGTAATTTCCTAGTCATACACTAATATTGGCACCACTGGTAAAATATGATCAAAACAGGCTGTGGAAAAATGCTGTTTATGCTCTTGGTATTTAATTCAAAATATTCACAAAAGCTGACCTTAATTATAGTAAAATAACCAAATATTTGTAAAATAAACACTGCCGGTCAAAAGTTTGGGGCTGGTAAGAATCTGTTTTTGAAAGAAGTCTGCACATCAAGTCTGTATTTATTTGATCAAAAATATAGTAAAAACTGTAATATTGTGAAAAATTAGAGTTTAAAATAACTTTTCTATTAATACTAACACAATAAAATGTGATTTAATCTTGTGTTGGCAAAGCTCATTTTTTCAGTCGTCACATGATTTTATTAGTCCCAAATCTTTGAACATTACTGTATGTGCCCCAATTTTTGGCACCCCTCCATTTAATACTTTGCACATACTACCTTTGCCAAGAAAACAGCTTTGAGTATTTTCCTACAATGCTTAGCTCGAGAACACAGGTATACGCAACACATGCAAGGCTCCCGAGTGTCCAGACTCTCATCGAGTACTCCTGACCTAAGAGGATAAACGGCAAGATATTTTGCTCATTTTTACCAAGGACACTGTGTTAGCTTGATTTTATACGGCATTATCTATAACAGTAGCCTTAAACAATGTTCAAAAATCTACTTTAATGCAGCTCTAGGTGATGCCAGCTAAAAAGGAAAGTTTAACTATATGTGCAATAGGTGTTTAACTACATCTATTTAGTAAGTCATTATTGCTAATGACTAATTACTATTCTGATGAAAGGAATTAACCCTCATGTGGTGTTCGGGTCCTTTTTGCTCTGAACATTTTTTATTTTTCCCGAAAATACTAGTTATCGCATTGGACTGAAATTTTGTGACTTTGTTCACAAAGGGTATAACTACTTCTAAAAAAATTTTTGATTATTTTCATACTTTTCTGGGGGAGATTTTTCACCTTGTTACACC